GTAATCAATCTTGCCAAGAACCCAGCGTTGCATGGGAGAAGCAAGCATATTGAGACCAAATATCATTTTTTGAGGAATCAAGTTCAGAGTGGAATATTAGAAGTTATACACTGTAGCATCCAGAAGTAACATATAGATGTTCTAACAAAGGCTATCAAGACTGATCAATTTCTTCGCTTGAGGGATGGAATTGGTGTTATCAGTTTTGGATAAAATATAAATTAAGGGATGGTATTAGATTTAATCTATATTTTAGGAATATCTTTTGGATATTAATCTATATTTTAGAAGATATTATTATATCTTTTTATATCTTTGTTAGAGGATATTTATGATTTTATTTGGTGTATAAATAGCCTAGTGAGGTAGCTCAATGTAATTCATTGTAAATCATTATTCCTTATTTTGTAGCCGTCATTAAATATATTTCTTTTTGATTTTCATCTCTTCTTTGTGCACCAACATTAAGTTCTTCTGGAACTATAAATGATTTCATCAATCAAAATTAAAATATCATGATTTGCACAATTCTTACGATGATACTTAACTATTAGCCTTCATGGATGTATGCAATTCTTTAAGAACACTTGAACACTAATTTTGTTATATTCTTCACATGTTATTATAATTCATGATTAAAAAAATATTATTCACTGTGAATATTTTAAAATAGTCTTGTAAACCAATGTATGATAAATGCTTAGTTCTTCAGGAACTCAACAGTAAATTATCTTTCTATAGTTATTCGGGAACTCAATCACAAATCTTTTACGAATTTCTCATAAACTCAATCACAAATATTTTTATACAGTTCTTCATGAACTCAATCACAAATCTTTTATGAACTTCTTCAGAATCTCAATTACAAATCTTTTTATGCAGTTCTTCAAGAATTCAATCACAAATTTTTTTATTAAAAAAAATAAATATTTGCAATTCTTCAGTTATTCAGGAACTATAGAACAAATTAATTATTTTCCTATCCTTCAGAAATGCTTTATCAGTTATTCAGAAACTATATAAGAGATTCAATATTTTTCGATCCAGTATGGATGCTTCATATGTTCTTCAGGGACAATATAAACTTATTATTTTTGTATCATTCATGGATACTTGATAATTTCTTCGGGAACCATATAATAAATTGTTATTTTACTATCCTTCAGGGATGCATGATAAGTTCTTCAAGAACTTGTATAAATATTCTTTTGCTATCCTTCAGAGGTGCTTGATAAGTTCTTCAAGAACTTATTTAAATATTGTTTTAAGTTCTTCAGGAAGTTATATAAATATTGTTTTCTAATCGATATATTATAAATAACGGGTAGAATATATATATATATATATATATATATATATATATATATATATATATATATATATATATATATATATATATATATATATATATATATATATATATATATATATATATATATATATATATATATATATATATATATATATATATATATATATATATATATATATATATATATATATATATATATATATATATATATATATATATATATATATATATATATATATATATATATATATATATTATTGGGGGATATACTATGAGCATCGATACATAGTGTAGGAATAAACACCTTTGTAAGAGACACACCACTTATCCACCTAAAACCTTAAGGTGATAGGTGAGTGGGTTCTCTCACTTATATATTCTTAAGTCTCCATATTTCTATCCAATGTGAGACTATTTCCCCACTTACTCATATTTTCTATATTATTCCAACACTCCCCCTCAAGTGAGTCCATAATGCTCCCTCACTTGTACCGTCATTGACATCTTGCAACAGAGTCTCTTCCGGTCCCTTTCTCGAACCAAAGGCTCTGATACCATGTTGGAAGGAGATACTAGGAGCGTCGATACATAGTGTAGGAATAACCACCTTTGTAAGAGGCACACCACTTATCCACCTAAAACCTTAAGGTGATAGGTGAGTGGGTTCTCCCACTTATATATGCTTAAGTCTCCACATTTCTATCCAATGTAAGACTATTTCTCCACTTACTCACACTTGTTATATATATATATATATATATATATATATATATATATATATATATATATATATATATATATATATATATATATATATATATATATATATATATATATATATATATATATATATATATATATATATATATATATATATATATATATATATATATATATATATATATATATATATATATATATATATATATATATATTATAAAAGGAAAAAAAGTAATGTTACCTTGCAAGTCTTGAAGCTTCGCGCTGATAATGTGTTATAAAATTAACGAGAAACAATATAATAAAAGAGTAGAAACGAATGAGAGATTGAGAAGAGAGAAATAACATTGTATTCATTATGAGTATCAATTTCAAGTACAATATGAGTCATATTTATAGGACATATGTAATAAATAGAAAATCGATATGAAATCTCATGATTGATGGACATCCATAATCATGTCATTTATAACACATTAATATTACTCTCTTCGGTCTTTTTATAAGAGACACTCCACTTTTTTAGATTAATTAAATAATTAATGTATCTGGTTTATAATACATGCCAAATACATTAATTATTCAATGAATCTAAAAAGATGAAGTATCTCTTATAAAAAGGACTAGAGAGAATAGTATTTATTTTGAATCTTACTGACAAACTTTATTGCTCTAATTGACTTTGTTACTTAATTTAATCATTAATTAAATATAAAATATTTATAAAATAATATTAGAATATATTAATTAAATAAAATATTTTAACAATTATATTAAATTTGATTAGAGTGCATCTGAATGCTATTTATACTAAGATGTCTACTTTACAATTTGACATACTACATACGTCAATAATAAGACTACGGTGAAATTATCATTAACATATTATATGACTAAACTTCAATAACCCCTACATCAATGCACACGATAACATAAATGAATCAATAAATGACATAGAAGTTGCATGCAATGTAATCTCTCAATCACATGTATTTCCAACTAGTCAAATTAAAATCCTTAGTGTGGTCGAACTTAATTTGCAAATTCAATATTTGCATAAGTGATACATAAATGGTTATTACGTTAATATCTTTGCAAATTTTATGTTTTCAAATGATCAAACATAAAATTTGTTCAGATACAAAAATAAGTTAACTGTATTTGGTAGTTAAAAAGTATTGCAATCGAAACTTTAAACACGATCAAAGTGTCACAAATTTATGTTTTTGATTAGTTAATTAGTTATTATTTTCTTAACCATTTAAATAGTTCTTTCATTATATGCAAATCCTAATTCAATTATAATAATCATCCTCTCTCTCTCATAGGTTTGACCTTCAATCTCCATCTATAGCAAATGAGAGTATAACTTCCAATCAACTTCCAATCATTCTAAGAGTTTTCAAGAGAGAAAATTATGATAGATCGTGTGCACAGATGAAAATGATATTCATAGTTTAAGATGTGTTTGAAATCGTGAATAATGGTTTCTAGACATTAAAGCCAAATGCTATTGAGGCGCAAAGAGATGCTCATTGTGAAATGAGCATGAAAAATGGGAAAAATTTGTTCTTGATATATCAATGTGAATTCAAATGTCTTTGAGAAGATCATTGAGCAATAAATGGCCAAAAATTTATATTTATATATCTTTATTGGATGTACAAGACGCTAAGAGGATTAGAAGAAGTATACATTCACTCATCATCAATGTTACTCAAGTCAAGAAAACTAGAGCATCCAAAAGAAAAATAAGAAAGCATCAAACTAAAAAGCACATTCGAGACCTAAGGAGTGACCAAAAGTTCGAAAAGGGAAAGAAAAGCGATAAAAAACCAAAAATCAAAAAGGTAAAAGGTCCAAAGAACACCTAACTTACTACCAAACCACCAATGAGGATCAGGCTACATCTTGAAAACAAGACCAACCTTTAACAAAACACCATTCACAAAAAGCATCAAGAAAGATCACATATCCAAAGATCCATGTCACAAACTCTTGAACTGCTCTTGAACTGTTATTTACTCAATCAGAGAAGAGGGTTTTCAAGTCAGGTAAAAAAAGTACATGAGTAAACCGACAACCTATCCTAATACCATTTATATGCAAGGGAAATTCTCTTACATACCATGTACTCTTTGTTTAATGGTGTATTTGAAAATAAATTCGTTTAGAGATATCCAAATAGTCCACACAACCAAATCCCAAATTATTATAAGGTCTCCTCTAATCCTCACAAATCCTCCTAACGACGTAAAAAAACTTAGAAACAAGGGTAATATCACTCGAAAGGATGTTCACTCTCCATACCCATATAAAAAATCCTATGTCACATATTTTTCCGCCATATCTCATATAACATATAAGTGAGAAACAAACTCTAATCACCCCAACACATAACCCACAAGAAAGGTCGCTTGAGTCTAAAATAATTCTTCGCATAAATAAAGTATCTCTAGTATTGATCTTATCTCGAAGGAGTTGTTCCAAATAAAAGCCAACATCTGTTTCAAACTACTGAAGGAGGTAATAGAATTAGAGTTCGCATCAAAATAATGTTATAAACTCAAAGGGCACTTAAATTGACATATAATAAAAGTTATAAGCAAATCTAGATATAAACTTGTTTATCAAACTCATCTCTTTCATTGAATTAGAATACATTAAATTATAAGAGTAACATCAAATCAACATTTCAATAAATAATTAGAAAAAGGTTTACTATTTAACCATATTAAAGGTTAAACATTATAATCCTTCACTCAATTAGGGTTCACCTATCAAATTAGTGCCCCCACTTTGATCATAAGCTTGGCCAACCCAAGCTCAATACTCAATAATGAAATGAAATAAAATGAAAATACACACAAATTGGCATCTTGATTTTCATGATTCCAAGGGAAATTATTACGAAAGCTCTTCCTCCATTCAATCAGAAACACCAAAGCATACTATAAAATTTCCAAACTTAGAGCTTCAATGTAAGATCAATGCCACCTCTTCCTCCTTCAAGTACTCCATTATTTGATATGTTTATTATATTTGTAACATCTTCTTGGTCCTTCACTTCTAAGAAGTTAAAGAAAGGTTTACGATCTTCTTCATTTGAATTCTCTACTTTATCCTATAAAATTAAAAACCCAAAAAAAAAAAACTTAACCTATGAAACATTCAGGTATTCACATTCAATTGAAGTAGCGATTGAGTTTATTGTCTGTTTTCCTTCTATTTCTGTATAAATTTTATTATAATACAACTTTTAAGTCTTGAAAATTTCAAAATAGCTTCAGTTCAACTTACTTTAGTGACTTGGCAAGGAAAATTGTTTACTTTGGAATGATCACTTTGAAAGAACTGCATTGGAGGTCGAGGTGGATGAACTTCAGGAACAATAAATGGAGGAAAATTTGTATGACTAGAGCCAACATTTTCAGAATTGAAAATCTTATTACTAAGCTCCAAAGTGCTACCCCATTTTGCATCCCTGAAAATGACCTAAGATTATTACTGATAATACATAGACACTACTAATAATTTGAGAAGATAAAAGATATATTTTTTATCTGAAGTGTTATTATTACCTGTAACACTCGTTGGTGGGATTATAACTACTAATCCCATGACTTTCATTTGTTGATGACTGTTGTGGCCTATTGTGACGTGAGAAACTCGGAAGAACTTGAAAGTTTGAAGGCGGAATCAGAGAATTGTCCAAAGATGAAGAATAAGATCGCTTCAAGCGGCCAGCCATCTATGACAAACATATCCCATATTGATTTGTAAATATATATTTGAACATCGGCAACAATACCACATATTTCATAATAATGTTATCATGATTTTAAATTACAGTTCGCAACAATAATTATAGTTGTGATATTGTTTATGTGATAGACTCTGCAAATACATCAGACTGCAACTACACTTTAATTTTACAATCACACGTTTGATTACATTAAAAACTTCGTCACATAATTTCTTCCATATTTCTTTCAAGAAGTTGTATCAAAACTCATAATTTCATAACTCAAAAACTCAACTTATATTATATAATAAAAAATCTTAAAATTAAGTGTTTTTCAACATGGTAGTTAAAACACCTCTCAATTAAAACTCACGCTGCAATAGTCTCAATGCATATCATTGCAAGCTCAAGGACTACAATTACAACTCCTTCAACCACACTCGTATCCAGGACCACTATTTAAAACCATGGTTTATAGAGACCTATAATCTTCTTTAATTTTATATGATATTCAAAACTTCAACACTAGACAACAACAAGAAAAAAAACTCGACTCAACAACATGCCACTACTAAAAAGAAGCAATAAAAACCTCAACACCACCGGAAGAGAACAAAGTAAAATATAGGACCAAAGAACCGAACAGAAAACTTCAAAAAACCACACGAACTCTCCACTACTAGAGAGAAGATGAAACTCTCGAGCAGCTATTGATGGTGGAGTGTTCTTGTGGTTTTTTCGAGTCTTCTTTTTTGTGATTCAATGATGTTGAATTTTAGTCCTTCTCTTTTGGCATGTTGCAGATTTTATTGGTTCGTTTTAAATAAATGAATAAATTAAACATAATCATACCGTCAATATCAACTCATACACCGAGACACATTTCTTTAAAAATGTCGGTGTTATACAGGTATTCAATGTAATATCTTACAAAATGATTCTAAATAACCGTTCTAACACAAATTCACAGTCATCATAAAAGTGCATTGTATTTTGTCAAATTTGTTACTCCAATATACATATGATGCTAAGTAAAAAAAAATTAACATGAAAAATTAGGGCATAGAAAGTACCATCTGTTCATCAATTGACCTTGATGAGTAGTTGTAATGTGAATTTTGGACTGAAGGGGACTCCACAGAATAATTGGGCATTCCAATTGATAGTACTCCATTTTGATTGCCACCATTCCCATGAAATTCATTCATCTGCATGTAAAATACACAGATCTACACTTAAAATTTCATACAGGTAGACATCTCTCAAAAATGTCTGATTGTGTTAGTCTTCAAAATTAACACTGACTCTTGTGTTTATTTTTAATTTATTCATTTTTTGAAATTGTTATTTGTATTGACATATCAGTAATGGTGAGTGTCAATGTCTGTGTAGTGTTTTGGTGTCAGATACAAATACATAAATACAATAGTTAAAACTTTAGGTCAAATTTATAATAATAATAATAATAAATTTAATAAAACCTCACCTTAGGTGATGGATCCAAATTGTTCCTCCTTGAAACTGTTGCAGGATAAGAATAATTAGCATGATTAGATTCACTAGATGAAGAGTTTTCAGATTCGGACGGGCTTCCGTCCGCAACTTCATTAAGATTACGATGACGAAATGGTTCATGTTCCATAGATCCAACACCATTGTTCCTTCCCAATGGATGAGTACTACTGTTAGTATACATAGATCTAACTCCTGGTGACACTGATAGATCAAACTTCTGCGCAGACGACGGTATAAGAGAATGCAGATTATTCGAATTTGGCCGCGATGTTGGCTGCGACTGCGGTGGATGTGGAATAAAACACGACGATGATATCGAAAACCCTTCATTATTCCCTCTTTGAGTTGTTGTTACATCAGCTGTTTCTTGTTCCTTCAAGATCTTCTCAAGCTCAGCAACCCCAGGACCTCTTTTCGGAATCCTCGGACGTTTTTGCTGTTGCTGTTTCCTCATACTACCGGAGTTCCATATCGAAACACCATTATTATTACCGCCGTTGCCGTTACCTCCACCACCAGCACCACCACAGCATCCACAAGCATTAGTTCCGCCACTATTGCTACACATATTCATGGCCATTTTTTATAATGCTGATATTAAACAAAATCCAAACTCATATATAATCTCACATAGTCAAGAGAATATAATAAACTACTATCTGAATTAAATTTAAGGATAGAGAATATAATCTAAAACAAGTATAAAAAAATACTCATTAAAAATAAAAGATGGTGTAATATAAGGAAACAAAATCTCATAGATTTATTATTATATTGTGTGTTCTATATTGTTATAGTATCTTAAAAATTTCCCCGATTTTCTCATTTTCTATTAATGTTAGAAATACAACAAATCTCAATGAAGAGATTTTTTCAAACGTAAGGAAATCCAAGCATTTATCAGAATCTTTCTTGTCTATGTAGGTTTTTCCGCTCGTGGTTTTCTCATCTCCATTAAGAAAGCAAGTTTTTGTGGATTTTATTCGAAAATTTTATTAGTCAATATTATCACAAAGCTATTTATAATTTACTTTTTGGATGCTTCTATTCAATGTTTTATCATGTTTAAATATTCTCTTGTGTTTATCTTGTTCTTTGATAAATAAATATTCAAATTGTTTTTGATATTATATTTTTGTGATTCTAGACATTTTATGTGAAATTTTAAATCCAAGTTTGACTGACTATATTTTTTGTAAGTATTTATTAAATTATATGTTGATTATTAATTAAATTAAAAAAGTAAAAAATATTTAAAACTTATATTTATATTATATTTTAATTCATAGTCAAGATTCATATGCATTTTGGTTTTGTCTTTTTTGGAATATCTATCAATATTATCATAAAATATAGTTTAAATCCTTGTATGAAACAATAATTTAGATATGTACTTTTTTAAAGTGTAATTTAGATATATTTCTAAAATACAAAAATATATTTTTAAAAGTTACACAATCCTAATTTTTAATTTGGATTATATTATATTTAATATAATTATTATTGAAATTTAAAATCAAATCAAATCTAAGACTTAAATGTGGATATTGTAACAGTCTAGTAATTTGAAAAAATTGAAAATTTTAAATTTCAATTTTATCACGTTTATAGGAAATATACTGTTATATATTATTAATATGAGTGCTGTGAATTTATTTGCAGATTTGTCATTTTTAGTTTATACTGATTTTGATTCTATTATTTTATATATTCTATATATTCTACCGTTTTGAATGAATTTGATTTTAGTAAAAAAAATAAAAATTAGAATCCATAAATCAACTTTCTCATTTTAAAAAATGGTTATATACATATTGGGTAGGCCATTAGACCAAAAATGAATTTAAAAAAAAAATACTTTTGTGTAATCTATTAGTATTTTTCTCGCAATTTCAAATAAAAATCCAATTTTACCAAATCACTAATTTAAATTTAAAATTTAATAATAAAATAAAAATTATACAAAATTATTTAATTTCTTCTAAATTAAATAATTTAATTTTGATATGATAAAGACTATGATTTTTTCCTTAAGTTATATTTTAATTAGTAAAAAATCAATATTATTACATTCAACGTCAACATTAAAATTAATTTCTTGGCTCTCACAGTTTTATGAGTGATTTTCTAATGGTTATTGCCATTTTTCTACGTATTAAAAAAAATGATTTTCATTCAAGAAAATGTCATACACGTCTAAAATTCTAAATATAAGATCCATTTGAAGAAAAAATATTGTCATTTTCTATATAATTTTTTTGGTCATGTTTTTAAATAAAATTCTCATTAAACTTTAATTATATTAATAATTCTCATATCATAAATATCTACAATCTTGTTTCGCAAATAAAATAAATACTATTATAATAATAATAATATAAATATATTTTCTCTTAAAAGATATACTCCCTCCATTTTCTTTTATAAGAAAATTTTGACTTTTTAAATTCATTAAATAAATGATGTATTTAGACTATATATTGGTTAGATACATCAATTATTCAATGATTAAAATTTTCTTATAAATAAAAATGGAGGGAGTACTTAGTAAAAAAATACTATTTTTTTAATAAGTTTGAATTATTATAAATTTTCTCAACCCTTGTGATTTAGTCAACAAAATTCTTTATTTAAGGACAAAGGTGTATTAAAAAAAAAAAACTAAGTAAAACTGCATAAAATTATTTTTATACTTGATATTATTTTGAAATATCGTTGTTAAGTTTAATATAAATTCAAAATTTGACTTAATTCCTTGTATATTAATTTAACTTCTCACTTATTTTTGTACTAGTATTTTTTATAATTTTTATAATATTTAAATTTATTTCATTTGAAAATTTTGAGAGAGAAATGTTAGAGTCAGAAGCTTTAGGTTTACAACATTGCTCAACTATAAAAAAAAATTTGTGGTAAAACTACAAAATTTTTGACCTAACTATATTACACCACCACTGGTCTCATTCTTCTTCTCCAATCAATTCATGATACCGACGACAAATAATATATTTTATAATAAATTTTTACCTCAATAAAAAAAACTCCAGTATAAAATCAGAGCGGGTCCTATTTTATTTTTTAAAAAAAACTTAAACATTTAATTTGTCCTTGCATTTTTTGTGTGAATAAAGTCCTTAAATATAAAATTTATTTGACTTTAATCCTTTAAGTTAAAATCTGCAGAAAAATTTATGAATTTTCTGTGAATTTTCATACGATTTTTTTGCTGAAATAAAAAACATATTAACTTACATGTTTTAAAAATCCACCAAATATCTATGATGAATTTCTACCAATCTTGATGAACAAGATTGATATCACTATGCAATGACAATGAATTATGAGAAAAGAAAAAAAGAGGACAATTATTTTTTGCAGAGTTTCTCTCTGCCTACAAACCGTCACTGACATAGAGACATAGTATAAACAATTCACTATTGCTTCTTCTTACATATACTCCATATTCAGTTATGCACTTCATAAATTCATTTTCCCTTAGGAAACTATCAATTTTCTTATTCCAAGCTTTTGGAGCTTGTTTCGATCTATACATGACTTTATGCAGCATGTACACCTTTATCTCTTCGTCATGTTTCAGAAACCCAATTGGTTATTTAACATAAACTTCTTCATCTAAGGGTCCATTTAAGAATGCACACTTCACGTCCATCTGGAATATGTGCCAACTGTTTATTTATGCTAGACCAACAACCAAGCTAATTGTTTTGATTCTGGCAACAGGTGCAAAAATTTCATTGAAGCCTATTCCTTCTTTATGGAGAAATCCTTTCGCCACGAGCCTTGCTTTGTGTCGAATTACTTCCCCTTTGGGGTTCATCTTCACTTTTTATACTCACTTGACATCAATTGCCTTCTTGCCTTGAGGCAATTCGAAAAGTGACCAAGTGTTGTTGTCTTCTATGTACTTTACTTCTTCATTCATTGCTTTCACCCAATCTGATGTAATCACACAATCTTACAAGCTTACAGGTACGTGTCTTGTTCTCTGAGGTCTACTTGTTCCTGGTTCATCTATAACTATTGGTTCCTTTTGTAGAACTTCTCTTTCGACTTCATATGTTGGTTCTTCGAACAAGATTCTTACTAAATCTTTCTTGACATTTTCTGTTCAATCCCATTCTTTAAGATCATCTATAATACATCCCTTCTGATCACAATCTACTTGTCCAATGGGTGTAACAACTCGTAACTTTCCGTTGAGTGATATCCTACTAGATTCATCTGACTCGACTTGTCATCAAGTTTTCTTCTCAACTGATTTGGAACATGTCTATGTGCAATAGATCTAAATACTTTCAGATGACTCAAGCTAGGCTTCACACCAGACCAACATTCTTCTGGAGTAATTCGTTCTAACTTCTTCGTCGGACATGTGTTTAATATGTATGTTATAGTAGACACAACTTCACCCCAAAACTCTTTAGGTAAATGCTTGCCTTTCCACATACTTCTCACCATATTCATGATGGTTTAATTATTTCTTTCTGCAGTTCCATTCTGCTATGGAGTGTAGGGTGGCACCACCTCATGCACAATCCCTTATTTTTCACATAACCTATTGAAATCTTTCGATACATACTCTCCACCACCATTAGTTTTCAAAACTTTGAGCTTTCGACCACTTTGTCTTTCGACTATAGACTTAAACTTGGCAAATACCTCAATCACTTCACTTTTCTTCTTGATCAGGTAAGTTCATAGTTTTCGACTAAAATCATCTATAAATGTAACAAAGTATTTTTTACCTCCCATCGAATCCACCTGAATTGGTCCACAAACATCCGAGTATATCACTTCGAGAATAGCCTTTGACCTGCTCCCTACATCCTTGCTGAAGCTATTCTTGTGTTACTTCACCTGCACACATTCCTCACACACTTTGTTTGGAATGTCGATTGATGACACACAAATATGTGATATTTCTGGCTTGATATACACAAAATATTTCTCATACTTTAGTTTAAATTAAATTATTTTATAGGTATTATGCAGGTATTTTTCTATTTTGCAGATATGCATTAAGCTGAACACTTTGGAAGAAACGAAGAAAAAAGAGGTGCAAAACTAGCAAAAAGGCCAAAGGAGAAGAAATGAGCTCAAGCCCATTAAGCATGTGAGCACGTGGCCCACCATGAAGAAGACCTTGACGATCGTCAAGGAGTCATGCCGAACGTTACGCATTGAGAATGACCAAGTGACTATCGTCACTTGGACGTGACGAATGTCACAAGGCCACTTTCCCCACTTTCTTCGCATCCAACGGATAGAAACACATTCAAAGCTAATCCAACGACTACCTATATTATCTGACCCACTCAGTCAAAGCACCAGGGAACGTAACAAATTAATGGCCCTATTATTTCTCAAAGGAAGAAAAACTGTTCCTACATTCTCGAGAACAACTGATCACACAAGACTTATAAATAAAGCCTTGGACCATACGAGAAAGGGTTCTTCTTTTTTGGGCAGAAACTTTGGAGATTTTATATTTACTTTTAGAAAATATTCCTTTCAGCATTATTTTATTTCCCAGTTATTTCTATATTCCTTCCAGCATTA